TGGCACACTAACAAACAAAAAAGATTTATTTAAAGCCTCACCCTCAAGTAAATATTCAAGCTGTGCTTAAACTGTTCAGTTTGTGCTGATTTAACGTGATTGTAAAGGCACATATTTTATTTTTTAAAAACAACAAACGTGTCATACTTTCCTGCTCTGTGAAATGGGTTTGTACAGAGCAGTCCCGATGTTCCTGGCTCCTGCCCCCTGTAAAGTTCCTCCATAGCAAGTGGCTTGCTATGGGGGCACTTATGAGTGCTCACTCCCGAGCCAGCTCTGTGTTTGTCGACACACAGAGCACGGTTTGGCCCTGCTCTTTCCTCACAGGCTCCCACTGCTGCCTCTCTGTCCAATAAGAAGAGAGACACTGCTCTTGCGTATATCGCTGATCAGACTCAGGTAAGTATTTTGGGGGGGGGGGAGAAACATGAAGAAGGTTTTTTTTTTTTTTTACCTTAATGCATAGAATGCATTAAGGAAAAAAAAAACCCTTGCTTTTAGAACCACTTTAAAGAAGAGCTGGCACATGTGTAACTGAACTGAAAGGAGGTTAAGGATGAGAAGTTGAACCTGGAGTACTCTGGCATGTGCTGCGTTTTGAAGACAAGTAGAGGTGTGTAAGCCAGGTACCATAGCACCAACCTAAGAGCAGGTAGTCAATATTTGCATGTTAAATGCTAATTTCACCATTGGAACATGTTACATGTTCCACCCGTATATAGGGGTGTTGGGGATCACTTTTGTAGTCCAGTGGCATGCCCTCTGACATTTCTACACTAAGGCTACTTTCACACTGATCCACCACTTTTGCTGCGCTTTCGGAGCGTTTTTTAAAGGACACGTGACTTAAAAACTGCACCAAAAACGCTTCTTAGGTATTTTTCATTCGTTTTCCATTGATTTCAATGGGAAGAGGTGTTTTGGGGCTTTTTTTTTTTTTTTTTTTTTTTTACTCCCCAAACATGCCCCAAAGATAATGCAAGCTGGAGTTTTTACACCGCACCACATGCGCAATGCCTCAGTGTGAAAACATACACAGATATACATTCACCTACATAGGGAAGCGTTTTTCTTGAGCTCTTCAGGCGCTTTTTTAAATTCAAAAACGCTTCAAAAACTCCTCAGTGTGAAAGTGGCCTTACCCCTGGTTCACATATCTGCGGTCCGCGTTTTGCGCAGGCACGAGAGATCCCATTCATTTGAATGGACTCCTGTGCCCCAGGACACGCAGGGAGGAAGTCTCTGCACTTCTGAAAACGCAACCTGCATGGGAACCTCGGTTCCCAGTATGGTTGCGATTTCCAATGCGGGCAGCATGCCCTTAGAACTAATAGCACCCGCCCGGGGGTCCGCATTCTTCTGTGCGGAGATGGTGTGGCTGCACGGATTTCTGTGTGGGTCCGCAGCGGCACCACCCGCACATATGTGAACGTAGCCTTTTAGTCCATACAGAGGTATGGCCTGAAAGACAGAGGACATGTCTGCAGGAGCGCACGTTGCACCTGTGATCTACTGATCAGGGGTTCAATGCTTACTACCTGCAGGAAAAAGCAATTAAAAAGAAAAAAAAAATTCTCTGCAGAAATATGTGCATTTATTATTTTTTCCTGTAAAGGTGAACTTAGCCTTTATACAGCCTTGTAGGATTCTGACAAGTACAACACCTAAAACCTTTTAACTCATTAAATCTTATTAACTTTAGACTTGCAATAGGTTTTAAGCAAATGAACAGATGTGTGCAAATAATTTAGACACCTGCTCAGCTATGTAAATCTGGATTCTCCTGCAGGTTTAAAAGGAATGTATTGTGTATTTTCAGTGAGTGCATATTTTGCATTACCATTCCAGTTTTTACTTTAAAGTACTAAAGCTTGCTCTTCCACATATCTCTTATTTTATAAGATATACATATTTGTAGAGCAGCCACTAGAAGCAGGGCAGATCAGCAACTGGAACTTTGTCTCCCAAGGTAACAACTGCCTATGTAAAGCTAGCCATATATGGATAGAAATTCAGCCGATTCAGCAGGGACTGGACAAATTTCGATCCACGTATGGGCAGGGTGGTTGTACAGATGTTGATCTATTGAAATCTCCCCGCTCTCAGAATACAATGGCGCAACGGGGAGGATTCCCACATTGAATGTGTGGATGGGGGAATTAATTTTTTTTTTTTTTTCATTCAACCTGCCGGTTTGAATGAAAAAAAAAAACCAAAACATTAATGTATGGGTTGCTTAACCTCTTGGCGCTCCCAGCACACATGTCTGGTATTCACGGAAATGTCACGATTTCCACTTTCGATTGGGACCTTTCCCGATCATGTGACAGCAAATCAGTGGTCACATGACCTTAAAGCCCTGCTGCACGGCTTCTGAAACCCTTAAAGGGCTGGGAGGCGCCCAAGGCGCCAAGGGGTTAAGATATTCACCACATAGGGAGTACAGTGGGTTAGTTCACTCAGAGACCTGCATTTAGAGAAGGACCGGGAAAACGAACACTGTGTAGCACAGCAAGCTATCAACCAGCCTTCCTTTGCATGGAGCAAATCTAATTGTCCCTGTGCACATAATTACAAACTAAATCAGAGACACAAGGTTTTTGTAACATTAACACACACTGATAGGATTATTTAGATCAAGCTATTTTTTTATTTTTTTTTAGGTTTATCTAAAGAAAAAAAAAAAAAAAAGACTATTATACATTTCTTAGGAGTAAATTATATGAGGTATCTGTGTTATTCCATGTCAAGAGCCATCTGATTGCAGCACTACTTGTCTGGAACACTCACTCCAACACTTTTGATTAAATGAATGCAAATCAATTCATTATTGGATGTCCTGTTGGATGTACAGTATACTGTATTGCTTGGTCACAATGGATGCATTTAATCACATTTATTATATAGATGTTTTTATTTTCTAACAGAATATGATCAGAACTTCTAACACAGGAACTCCAATACTCTTGTAGCTGCTAAACTACATCCTCACCCTGAGTGCAGAGAGTTCATATTCCTGTTTATAAGTGATGTCTGGAAGCTGTTGTATATAACAATTACTTCAAATCTTTAGACACTTCTGCTGATTACCTAAATAAAATGTTATATTTTATTAAGAGCAAGGTGTGTGTGTATATTATTGCTTGAAAAAAAAAAAAGGGAATAATTTATGAAAGAATTTTGCTTTCAAACTGTTTTTAAAAGGAAACCTGTGCCTGCTGATCCACAACTTCAGCAGAGCCCGTGACCAAATATCAAGACTTCTAGTCAAGTGACCAGCATTGAAGGGAGATCAATGCAGTGTTTTGTACAAGAAAGGTATTTCAGGCTCTTCCATTACTCTGTATCCAGCCCGGGTTCATCTGAGCACCTCCCATGAAGTATTCTCTGTCAGCAATTATAAACCACTAACTCCTCAGGATTTCCTATGTTGACTTTGTATTACTCCAAAAGAGTCAATGATCAACCCTCCAATCTAAAATTTTTTAGTCCTTCCCTAGCTTAAAGGTGGCTAGATCTACCTTGAAATCTGATTGTACATTTTTTTACCAAAGCTAAGAAATCTATCCATAAAATCTGTATCAGTAAAGCAGACCCTTGCACTACATAGTTGTTGTTAGATCAAAAGGACATTGTACAGCCAGATTGTAACATATAAGACCAGCTATACTCTTTTGGTAGCTTTGTGGCTTTCAACTTGTTCGTAGTCACACAATCTGACATGTTTATTTTAAGTCTCAAACAAGCAAAAATGAAGTCCAATCAAAATTGATTTTAATAGATCTCCATTCCACTGTAAGTCATTTAGTAAATCTGGACTAGTAAATGATCTCCAATGTCCTAAAAGCAGATGGAAAGCTACAAAAATTGCCAAGTGTATGGCCAAAATTAGATATGCATGTATGCATTTTGTCCGTGAGACTTTGATTCCATATCAATTTTTTCCTTCAACAAGCTATTTTGGTGTTATAGACTTAAAAAATACAGGCTTTGATAAAAATGCATGGTCTGCTTAATGCCTAGCTCTCCCCCCCCCCCCCAAAAAAAATACAAATGGAAAAAAAATTAAAATTAAACATTAGGAGGAAATGTATCTCTCACCACAGTTTCTGGTGTGCGTGACAGGATAAGGCATCTCAGTTGCTCTCAAAACCTATGAGAAATCACTCTAGCACTATGTAGGACTGCATTCTCCTGGGATCTTGCACTTAGGTGAGCCTGTTGGGTGTCTGAAGTGTAAGTATTTTTTCTGTGATTGTTTAAATGTTTTTGATTTGTTTTTTTTTTTTGGAGGTGGACATTAAAGCAGAGGTAAACCTCTGGGCCCCCAGGAGCTTTTTGTGGTACTAAAACACAACAAACATAATTACAGATTATGGCACAGCTACAAGCAAAGTGATCCCCTCCTATGCTGCAATCTCAGTGCTCACCTCTAGCACTGGTACTTTTACAGGTTCAAAGCCTTTGGCATTTTGATTGGTCATACCGGGATGACATAACTCTCCAGTGTATCTTTTCCAATATAGAGCACTGAGCTGTGCATGTGCAGCTCATTGTATGATTGGGAGAAAACAAAAATCACTGACAAGTAGGGAGAAGCATTTATAAAAAAAAAAATAGAAAAATACCATCATATTATTCAAAGCCTACCTTTAAAATGTTTTTTTGTTTTGTTTTTTTTTTGTTAAAGGTTTACTCCTGCTTTAAGTGCAAGGTCAGCTTAAAATATACAGACTAAAATCTCATCACAGTTTAAGTACTGATCCGCATATTTCCTATAGAGAATACACTACTCAAAAGCACACATTGAAAACACAGTATTTATTAAATTTTTATATTGAAAAATAGTGATATTAAAAAACTGCACCCAGATTATAGCAGATCCCTGTAATATGAAGACACAAGGTGATCCTGTAGTGTTCCTGCAGTGACACTACCAAGTTTGAGAAGTAACAGTCCTCTGTTAGGATATATTCATTCTCTACAGGCACTCTTGCTGGCTATTTTATATCTTTGTTTTTGGTCACAAGCATTTTCTGTAATTTCTCCTAGAAACAAATACATGAATAGTTTAGTACAACACGAAACTATAGACAAGCAATAATAACTGTCCACGAAAATATCAATTTAACTATACAGGGTTTGATTACAATGATTTTTTGTTTTGTTTTTGTTTTACATAGAGTGGGGAAGAAATAGAAACCGGTTTACATATGACCTCTGCTGGAAGACTGACCCCATGGGTAGAGCGAGCCCTAACTTCTTCCAGAAGGGTAGGTTTGCATACATCTAGGCAAGGTGAACAGTCTTCACCACCCACAATGAAATTAATGAAGAAGATCCTCTTAGGATCTCTCAAAAGTATAAAGAGCCTTCCTAATAGGTAAAGCTTCTCTGTCCTCTGCAAGTATGTGCTGATAAGGTGGAATAGTTTGTTGTTCGTATAGGATGTCTTCTGGTGCTTTGCTGTGGGATGCAGTACAATGGAAGTTTGTTGTAACTTTCGACAAGAACGGCAGTACTGGGTACCAGACTACTTTTGTATGAGGACACCTGGCAGTAAGGATCCTTGCAGGACAAGGACTGGAGTTTGGATACGCCCTGAGTCGTCACCACTTCCATCAGGAACACCAGCAGTAGAGTTAGATACCACATAGATCAGGATGTCACTGGGAAGAAAATATGCTCACCAAGCTGCCTGAGCACTATTGGTAAGGCCCATTTAGGGGAACAAAGGTTTTACCAGAGGATTAGTCTTCATGGCTACTCAAAGGAACTGTTTTACTAGAGGATGCGAAACCCATCATTCTTTTGTCAATAATGGGACAAGAAATTCTAAAGATGAGCATTGCTGCATGTCACCATCAGATCCACCTGAAGGGATCCCCAAATCTGGATAGGTTTAAAGTCCATTTGTGAGAATCTGCATAGTTTGATGCAGCCTGTCAGCCAATGAGTGTTTTTGCTCTGTCAGATAAAAAAATGTGAGATCCTTGAGATGAAAATCTGCCCAAACAGATTTTTGGCTATCGAAAATAGATCCAGAAACTTGCTTGAAGCAACACGGATGAATACACTGGTTGAGAAAGACAAACATGATCCAATGAAGATGCCAATGCGCCGTGGCACTGAAGCTCATACAATCCCTGGTTGGGAGTATAAATGTTTGAATGACGCTCCAAGATCATGATGATGCTGTCACAATCTGGAAGATCCTCCTTTAGTCTAGGTTCACACCTATACAAGTTGCGTTTGATCAGTTTCTGCAGTTTTTGCACTTTGCAGTGCGTTTTTGCACTTGGGTTTTTTGCCGTGTTTCGTAGGTTTTTTTTTTTTCATTTTTCTTGTTAGGCAAATTTTAAACGCAAAACGCGGCAAAAAAAACATAGCAATACATGCTTTTCTTCAGCGTTCCCATTGTCTATAGAACCAAAAACGCAACGTTTTGCGTTCAAAAAAGTCCCTGACCCTTTCCAAAAAATGCACCGAGTGAAAACGCTCAGAAGTGAACGTGTCCCATAAGAAATCATGTTAAATGGACTGTACTGTGTTTCTGCAAAACGCAGAAAACGCTTAGGTGTGAACCTGGGGTTAAGGTAAGATAACTGTCCCCCGCCTAGGGCCAAACACCATCCCAAGATATTTCAAAACTCGTAAAGTATTCTGGTTGCATAAAAGCCAAACTTGGACTGGTTTTAGGACTACTTCTCTTTGTGCCAAAAGTTAAGGCCTCAACTTTGGCAGAATCAGTACATCGCCTCGATAATGATGAATCTGGATGCCGAAGTCTGAGTGGATTTTTGCACCAGAAAAGGTTTCAAGAAGGTTCTTAGAGCAGAGACTAAAGGGAAGACAGCAAAACTGAAAATGATGGTTCCCCATTACAAACTTCAGATATCAAGCAAACAATTTAAATTATTGTCTGGATTGAGCATGATAGTGTGAGCTTTCAACAATCCACTGATATACCTGTTTAGACAGTCTTTTTTTCTGAGGTTTCTGGAACCAGAGTCTTAAAGAGATATTAAAATGGAATTCTTGCCTAACACTAAAATTTAAAAATGTCCCCTTCCTCTCCTGCTACCTATCCTGTCTACACTATGTAAAAAAAAATATATATATATTTATATTTCCCCTTTTTCAATCTGCTCCAGTCCAGTTGCGTGATCCTGTAGCTCCGGCTCCCCTGTGTCGTGGCGTGCTCGACAACTGGGAATTCCAAGAGTGGGGATGTCACCCACAAACTTCCATAGCCCAGCCATTGCCAGGGCTCTCTCCTCTCCCCTGCAGCTGCTTACTGACACAGGAGGGCCAGAGGGAACTGAAAAAAGGTAAGTAAGGTGAGTATAGAGCTTCTTTATTGTTTATACCTTGCTTTTCTTCCAGTTTAAGCTGGTATCATGGCTGCAGCCCCAGGTTTCCTGTTTCAGGGTGGCTACTTTCTCTTGCAGCATCTTATGGAACCAACCTTGCAGTGAGGGGCAACAGAGTCGTGTCTCCCTACATTGTGTGCACCAATAGAAGCACACAGCTCCATAGCCTAGGAAGGCAAGGGAATCCCCATGCTCCACCCTCCACTTCTCAAAGCTAACAGGCTGGCTGGAGACTGTATTGTCCACGGTTAACTATGAAGACTGGAAGTTCAGGGAAGCAGCACAGAAAGAGCTTAAGCCAGCTGCAATGAAAGTTGTAAACTTTACCAAATAGCTTACTGAAAATGTTTATTTTATTGTACTCAATGTGTTTAAAAACACTGAGGGTTTAATACTACTTTAAAAGAAAAAACACCTAGGTGTATGGAAAGCAAACTAAAGTTTACAGCCTTTATTTACAGTCTACACCAGGGACGGACTGATTATTTGGGAACTCGGGACATCAATGATGTCACATAGGGCGGGGTCACTCAGGTGATGTCCCTGGGTGTCCCCGCCCCTTACATATTTAAGAACTGTCAAACCACCGAAGCAGGCAGACGGCAGGAGACATTGTTTGAAGCTGAGCTTTTTTTTTTTTTAATTCTTTTTTTGGGTCGGTGGCGGGCATCGAGATTGATGTTGGATCTACTGCGGAGGACATTCTTTTAGTTTTTTCTTTTAATAAAGGACTTGTCAAAGACCGTGTCCTGTCTTTTTTCACACACTTTTTGTTTTTTGTGAATGAGTAGCGGGAGCATGTACCCCATACTCATTCACATGGGGGGGGGGGCAGGATCTGGGAGCCCCCTGCCCGCAGACTCCCACCCCCACAACCACCGCCAGGGTTGTGGGGAAGAGGCCCTTTTCCCCATCAACATGGGGACAAGGTGCTTGGGGGGGAAGGCCCCCTGCCCCAAAGCACCCCCCCATGTTGAGGGCATGTGGCCTGGTATGGTTCACGAGGGGGAGGGGTCGCTCGTTCACCCCCCCCCCCCATTTGCTGACCTGCCGGGCTGCATGCTCGGATAAGGGTCTGGTATGGATTTTGGGGGGGACCCCCACGTCATTTTTCTTTTAAATTTTGGCGTGGGAGTTCCCCTCAAAATCCATACCAGACCCGAAGGGCTTGGTATGGATGGGAGGGGGGACCCCACAACATTTTTTTTATTTATTTTTTTAATTGCTGGCAATTCTTTTACATTCAGCTGTCAGTGGGGAACCCCGCTGACAGCTGAAACATTAACACATAGTTGTCACTACTATAATACCGCATGACTTGATAAAATAACTCATGCGGTATTTTAGTAGCGTTTACTTTTTTCTGATCTCCGGAACGGATTAATTAATTTTCAATGCATTCTTATGGGAAGCGGCGTTTCGGTTTACAAATTTTTCGCTATACAAAAAGTCCCGCAGAACAAATTAAATTTGTAAACCGAGGTATGCCTGTATTTCTATAGCTCAGCTCTTATACGCTTTGAGTGTAGCTCATTGTACCTATATGCATGCATGTTCTTTGCTGAGATTGGCCAATGGAATTTACATCTTTGTTGTATTATGCGTGATGTTAGATGGCATACTTGGTTGTCTGTACCTGCTGGGTGATTGTATGTACTGTATTTGCCTAATACAAACTTATTGCTAAAGCAGTTTGGCTTTGTGGTGTGCTTACTCTATGCATTAAAAACTATTGTACTAACAGATCGATACACTGTGGGGAGGTTTAAGCACCCTAAATAATAATATATTGCTGGATGCTGAATGATGTAGTTAATAGTGATATGCAAACCTTTATTACTAATTATAGGTATCAAACTTCTTCCCAGTTATTGGCCTGCTTCACTGCATGACAAACAGCGGCACCACGTTATACTATCTCTTCTTAGAAATTCTGCTTCTGAGACTGTGACCTCTGAAGACTCTGCCACCAGTCTCGCTTTCTTACCTCCTCAGAATTGCTTAGGACCTGCATTATGCTGTGTATATTTGTTTAAAACATCCATCATTATCTTTAAGGTATTTGACTGGGAACATGGAAAGCAAAAAAGCACCTGATAGTTTCTAACCATTCCTTTAATAAGAGATCAAGTCAAAGCAGGACTTTTAAGTTTATATAATAAAAGAACAAATTTCAGGGAGTGGAAACTGCATTTATTTTTCAACATACTCCCCTGCTATATTTAAACACCTATCCCAATGTTTAAGTAATTCCTGGAAAGTTTTGGTATAGAAAGATTTGTCAGAACGCCTATACCACCGTAGGACAGCCTGCTTCACTTCGTCATCAGTGCAGAAATGCTGACCCCCAAGAAACTCTTTTAGGGGTCAAAAGCGGTAAAAATCACTCGGAGCGTGGTCCGGGTTGTAAGAGAGATGTGGCAATACCTCCCAGCCGAGTTGCTGTAATGTGCACGTAGTGCAGTGAGCAGTATGAGCTTGTGCCTTGCCCTGGAGAAACAGGATGCCCTTAGTGATCAAACCAAGCTGTTTTTTCCGCAGATGTGTATGCACATTATTCAAAACACCACAGTAATATTCACTGTTGATAGTGGCACCATGGGGTAGAAAATCCTGGGAACCACCACGGCTGGGATCGTCACGGACAATGTACGGCCATCTTTGAAAAGTTTACACCATTCAAATTTCTTACTGCGGCTGAGCATCTTATCACCGTACGGTGCTTGAAATCTTCGGTAGATATCCGCATGTTTTACGCCTTCATTAACAAGAAACTTTATCACCACACGCTGTTCAATGTACAAACAAACACTGTTGTCTGCCCTCTTGATTAACAGACACTGGACTGGCCCACGACATGTGCGCCGCCTATCAATAATAGGACACACTTGCCACTTATTACTTTGAGTATTACCACCACCCTAGCATCCCTTTTTGTACCTGTAAATTAAAAGTCCTGGTTTGACTTGAACGCCTCGTATATTTAAAACGTAAAAGACATTTTTGGCTATTATTACATTTCAAACGGCAGCTGTAACACTACCAAAACCTGCCAAAATACAAAATGGCAAAAAAATCATTAAAAGAATGATGACATAATGCCCTCAGTGTATTTAACATGTTTACCTGTAGACACCTAAGCCAAGTTGGGCACGTTATAAAATACAGTTACTTCCTCTGTATGTAGTCTAAAATAAATATCTAGAATTAGCAGATGTAATTTGAGAATATGTCATACCTGCTCCAGGAGCTGATTTTGAAACTTTTGGCACAGTGATTGGAGCTCCTCAATTGTTCTGTTCTTTAGTTTGATTTGTATCCTGCTGTCTTCCAATGCTGCCATTAAGGACTTGCATTTTTCACACTCCTATACCAATACATGTAATAGGGTTAAAAGGTGGTCTGCACCTATTTAGCCTGGAAATCACACAAAAAAAACAATCCTCTCTGTGTCAGTTATATACATTGCAAGGATCTTAGTAAGCTAAATTGCAGGCTATTATCTCCTGCTTTGTGTCTGAAACTCACAATGCATTTCATATAGGGTTTGTCCCCACTAGCAGCAAACAGGGTGGTTTGGGGGTATATTTCCACCTCTGAAATGCCCAAAAACTGCCTCCTAGAACTGCAACAATGTAATTGATAGTTACAGTACCCATGGAAGTGGCAATGTTTGTCTGCCAAAACTCAAAGTGTGGTGTTTAAGAGCAGCAACACAGGACAACCTTTCAACGTCCCAACCCAAGAGCAGTTACAAATGTTCAGAAACGAATGCACATCCAATAATGCAGTGCATTATATGAACTCTGGATCCTTCACTCTTGTAGGGGATTTGATGCTTCAGTCCACTGTCAAGTAAGCAAACTATGCCCAGTGGGTCTTGTTGCTACAATTAATAGATAATTAATAGATAAAGTGCTGAGCAAACTGCTGGTGCTATATAAATCCTGTATAATAATAATAAGAGGAAGAATATTTTTTGCTTGTTTTTCCCAGAAAGACATCTGCCCATCTACACTGTATGATCAAACGTTTGTGGACACCTGACCATCACACCTACAATATACGAGTTTGTTAAATGTGCCATTCCAAAACCATGAGCATTGATACACAACTGAACAACACGTTGGGGCTATAACATATCCAACTGGAAAGCGTGTCTTTGGGAATTTGGCCCATTTAGTAAAAAGAGCATTTGTGAGGTCTAGTACTGATGTTGAACAGAAGGTCTGGCACACATTAGGTATTTGAGTATATCCAAAAGATTTTCAATAGGGTTGAGGTCAAGGCTCCATGAAGGCGACTCAGGTTCCTCCACATCAAGCTCATCAAACCATATAATTTTGGACCTGACTTTTGGGCACAGTCACGTCTTAAAACTGTCATCACCGGAAGCACACAGTTGTTTAATATTTCTTTGTACTGTATGCTGTCACATTAACAAGAACCTTCATTGGAAACACTTGCACTTAATAATTACTGTCCACAAACTTTTGATCATATGGTGTATAATGTGCCCATTTGCACATTTGGTACTTATACATCGCTAGAAGGCTAGAATTCTCCTTTAAGAATACAAAGTTGGGTAACAGCTAGGGGCGGACTGACAACTCATGGGGCCCCCGGGCAATAGGGGATCATGGGCCCCTGTGTCCTTGCCCAAACTCAAAAAAGCCTATGAAAAAGGTACCAGGGGCATCTCATGGGGCCCCCTACTGACCCAGGGCCCTCGGGCAGTGCCCGAGTTTCCAAATGGTCAGTCTGCCCCTGGTAACAGCTCTCACACACCATCCTCCAGCATGCCTATTATATTTGTTTGAAAAACTACAACAGAAACCTTAATTGCAGCAATGGCTTAGTCTGATCTGCCTGCTGTAATCCCCATAAATCTTCCCCATGGAGACAGATTATCCTGATCATGGTACCAGCAGATTTCATTTAGGAGTTTTATAGCAAAGTTGGAGTAGGAAATATCCTGGTCTGCTATTCAGAATGTCCCTAAGTACCGACATAGTTACACCAGCTATACAGTACTGCTAGTGATCTTACTTGTCTGGAAACACTATCTCTCTTCAGCTGTGTGCGCAGCAACTGAGCCTCCTCTGCTAATCGACTTATTTCCTTCTGCAGGTCTTCCATTTGCTTCTGATGTTCCCTGGAGCAGTGATAGAAATACACACAAAAATACAGATACCTTTAAACATCACACGTTCATTTTTAGAGTTTCAGTTCATCTACATTTGTATTGTAATTTTTCTGCAGTATCTGGGAAAAAGCTTTTAATTAAGTTAAGGAGATTGTTGGGGTTGACCACTGCTGTAATGCAGTTCATTATGTGAAATGGCTATGCTTGAAAACCCAGAATTAAAAGAGAAGTATTGCCAAAGTTATTTTGGCTATGCTTCCTTTTTTGGGTCATACAAGTACACAACGTTCGTTCACCTTTGACCCAGTGTCAGTTGATAGCTGGTTATTGCCTACTATCAGCTGATGAGGCAGAGCTGCTCCAGGCTCCAGAAGGATCCTGACAATATTGTTAGGATCCATCCAGCAGCCTGATTGACAGCTGGCTCCACCTCTTAGCTTGCAGCTGAAAGACAGAGCCAGCTGCAGCTGCCCCTTCCTCCATGATCTTAAGACTGTGCTGGGAGACACAGCAAACCTTCTGGCAATGGCACGTATTGATGTTCCATCCTGGAGGAGTTGGACTGCCTGTGCAACCTTTGTAGGTTGCACATCTCAGAAAAGATGAGTAGAGAAAAAAATGTGAGTGGCCTCATCTGTAAAATCATTCCTGTTTTGGGGGTTGTCTCATTGTTGCCCATCTAGTGCACCTGTTGGTAATTTCATTAATACCAAAGAGCTGACAAGATCAATATCCAAGGAGTTTAACTGACTTGATGCTATACTCTGATTGAAAAGTGTTCCTTTATTTTTTTTTTAGAATATATATATATATAGATAGAGCTAAAATCAGAAATAAAACACCCAGGCTGCCTTAATTTGTAATATCCTACACACAGAACACCTTGCATGGTTAACAAGATTGTAGTTTTTCAAGCCCACTGTGTAGCATCCTCCTTCAATGTTTCCTGCACTAAACTACATTAAACGTTCTGAGGAAGACGTAAACCTGATCAGTGTCCCCCAGAACCATCTTAGTACTGGCTTTTTTTCACATCAGATCTTCTATTTATGAACGTCATGAAACCTGTAGTGAGTATTCCAGTGTTAATTTCATAATCAAAAATATTTTCATCATAGTTTTCATCAGCTACATGTTTTCAGTGATGAAAACTGAATGAAAATAAAATTAGAATTATGTAAATTGCCAAAAACTATGACGAAAATCAATTTCAATTTTCAGTTAGTCGACTACAATTTCCTGTACGTTTTAGTCAACTAAAATCTAATGGGTTTAGTTAAACTGTAATGCATTATTAAAGTATTTCTCTAGAATTGCCAAACTCATTATATATTCCTGGAGTAAAAATCTAATAACATGTTATTATTTATGGTATTAAGGTTTGAACATGTACTACAGACACAGATTTAGCTGTTATATATAACGTCTTTATAAATAAAACCAAGTTTCATAAACAAACAAAAATATTGCTTTTTGACAAAAGTGCAACCTTAAAATATGAAAAAAAAAAAACAAACTGTGAACTCTATTGGCTGTAATGCCGGGCTGGAAGTGGAGAAGGGGAAGTAAATGAGAGTGAGGAAGTGCACAGGGCAGGGTACATTATACTTTGGGGGTGGGGAGGTGACCTGCAAGTGGGGATAAGGAAGTAAATGGGAGTGAGGGAGTGCACAGGGCAGAGAACTGGACGGTCTAGAGAAGCCGTTATTTTACACAGTGCTAAGCACTGCTACCTTTCTGGCAGGAGAAACACTCACCACGTCACATCCAGACAGACACAAATCCAACTATAGTTCCTCTTTTTTGTCTTGCAGTGCATTGTAGGGCATTGTTCCAGAACTGCCAGACAGCAGTCAAACAGAGGGAGCCTGCGACTCTCAGCCAATACAGCTTACTGAAAGAGTACTGGAGATTTTAGTCGATTAAAATGTAGTGGAGACTTTAGTCGACTAAAATACAACTAAAACTAAAACAATTCAGATGACTAAAATACGACTAAAACAACGCAGAAGACTGAAATACGACTAAAACTAAAATGGCATTTTAGTCAAAAGACTATGACTAAAACTAAATTGAAATATGGTGTCAAAAATAACAGTGGAGTATTCCAGCACTGCAAGTAGGTACATTTTAGGATTTCCAAATTACCGACTATTTGATGGACTAGAAGAGCAATATCTGGATGCAGAGCAGCCATAGTTATTAGTCTATAGTCTGGGAGTGCCAGGACTAGGACTATGGGATGTTTTTGGACACCTTCAGACTGCAGTACACAGCCAATCGATTATAAACAGAATGTCTCCCCAAAATGGTTCCCGAGAATGTCTTCTGGTTCCTTAAGTTACCCCCACAATGCTGGAGATCTGGTCTCCATTTCTACCTGTGTCATTATCTAGTTCACAGGTGTCAAACTGGCGGCCCTCTAGCTGTTGCCATGAGGCACTGCAAGATTGACAGTCACAAGCATGACTCCCAAATGTAGAGACATAATGGGACTTGTAGTTTTGCAACAGCTGGAGGGCCACCAGTTTGACACCCTAGATCTAGATGGAGTATGTTTATTTATCCAGTGCTTGAGTGGATAGTCTCCATATGCTTACATTTATGTTCACAACAAAAAACAGTATGGTGGCTTAACAGTAGATAGTAAGCTCCGTCAAGGGCAGGGACTGGTTTGATTCAATCAGTACTCCACACCATGGAGACATACTGTATGTTGCCATTGAATACAACATGTACTACATAAATGCTTAAACTATTTATCCATGCAGGTGTGTACTATTGAAGGACTGGATGCCCACTCAATGTCTACTATGACCAGTTTCATTGCTGCACAGAGTGAAATCTCCCAGTTCCTACATCAGCGCCCTCCTCATCATGGGTAGCTGTTTAGGAGCATTAAACAGAAGGGTTCACCAATGCAATCACAGCATGTACTAGGCTTTGCAGCTAATTAACAAGGATAAGAAAAACTCAGAGTTAAAAAGTTTGGAAACTATTGGGAGTTTTTGGCTTTTAATGAATTCATAAAGATGATGGAAGCTGTATTCTATCCTGGACCAGCTGCTTATTATCAGTATTAATCCACCCCCCTCCCCCCCCCAAAAAAAAAAAAAAAATCACCAGGAGCTCTAGTCAACAATCTCACCTAAATTTCCCAATAAATGAAAATGAGAGTTTAGGAGAAATCCTAGAATTGTGCTGCAAAATCAGTTTTTCTGAAATCACTCCACTCTTCCCGACTTATAAGATGCTTTTGGCCCTGGGTGTCAGGGATCCTGAAATGAGTATCATACCTTAACTGCATTTTGATAATGATGGATTCGTAGATGAAACTGCCTACTTTTGAAATAGTACAGTACCATATTGTTGCACTTAACCATTACACAACTGTTAGGGGAGCAAGTGAAGAAGAAAGAGGTCAAATGTTAAATGTACCATGACTTATTTCTGAAAAGTTCCGAGATCTGCTGCTTCAGTTTATGGATCTTTTCATCTCTGCTGTTGACTTCTGTTTGGTTTTTGTTCCCGAAGTGCTGCCACTGTCTCTTCGTACTTTCATAAGACACAGAAGACGTCACATTAATTTATGTTCTAGAACTAAGACATCTTCTGAAGAGGTTTCAAATGATGGATATGCATAGCACCCACCTGACTCTGCAGTTCTCTGTTGACATTTTCATAATGCAGAATGTTATAATTCAGGAGCTGTTCCTTCTCTTCCACTAATCTCTGGCTTCTGTCCAGTGACTGCCTGGTTGTTTTATGGCTGTTTACTTCAAGTTCAATTTCTTTGGCAAACTGCAACGTCTGCAGTGAAAGAATATTGTTGTATTAAATTCAAGGCCAAGTTAGCTACACACAGACTTCAAAATGAGAGAGAGAAAACATTCATAAACTCTATTATTATTATTATTATTATAGAGTAAAATTACATAGGATATTATGTATGAAAAGTGCTCTGACAGAACATTTCTGATTGCCCACAGTAACCAATATGGTCTCATGAAAATCTTGAAGCTTTTCCCTGCACGGTGTGCTTTCATGCATCGCTGTAAACAAATGAGTGTATGGTGTATTTCCAGAATGCAGAATTTCCATGTTTGGGGAATACATCATATGCACATGTGCATGTTTACACTGCTGCGAAGAAGCACTGGCCTATCTCTGAATACAGTCGAATACAGTTTCCAGGATTTTACTCAAGACCATATTTTGCACCTCAAACTCTCAGTGTGCATGAGGCCCAAAGAGCACCTGAACTGTGGATACTGTGCAAGCAAAAGACATATAAGGGGTTAGTAACCAGTACTGCCTATTGCAGCCTTTCCCGGCCATAGCTTCATGGAACTCTAGGGTTCCCCCTTTCTAGGGTTGAATTGATCCCTCCCCTGCACTGACCACCAATAAAGGGGAAAATTTTCCACTGAGTACCAGTCTACACTGACCACTAATGTTTGGGAACACCACAATTTTCAATGTCTGCATTTCTTTTTTTATCATACCATTTATTCATTTAAGATTACCATTGAAACAAACTTTGTTGAATACAGCAGATGGTGTTAAAAAGCTACAGATTAAGGTAAACTACAACAGATAAGTAGTTTTTTATTAGACCAGTTTAGTGTAGGTTGTTTAATAAATAAAAAAAATGGCATATGCAGTGCTACCAAGCAGGTGCTAATGATCATCAATTCCATGTGTCATTAACTGACTCGGAATGATCTGTGTAGAAGGCTTAAAACTGGGTGAGGAACAGCCAAACTCTGCTACTAAGGTGAGGTTGTGGAAGACAGTTTCATGTCACAGGTCATACACATGGCAAGACCAATCACAGCAAAAAGGCACAAGGTAGTTAGGCCTCATGTACGGAACACTTCTGAACGATGGAAACTGACTGCTGGAACACGTAGGTTAAAAAAACGTCTGTTTAGCCGCACTTGCATAACACGTTTATGTGCATTTGCGTTTAGAAGCGTTTTTTTTTAAAGATAAGCACAGGAGAACCTCCCAAATGCCCAGAATGCACTGAGTAGTGGTAAATTATTAACTATTTCAGACTGTTTCAGAGAAATACAGAGAGTAGAAGCAGAGATAGCAGTATGTGTTGAGATTAGAATAGGTGTGAGTTGCTCATTAACATTTCTTTTGTTTCCAAGGGTGAGAAAGGTATCTGGTGGAGTGAGTCATTAAGGCCACCTGGTAGGGGGTCTGCAGGAGGAATTTGAGGTGTGAATCGTCATTAACATATCTTTTGTTTCCAAGGGTGGGAGAGGTCTGAGGTGTGAATTGGTTATTACAATGTGTGACAAGCTTGGTAGGAACATCCTGTTTTCAGTGTTTTGTCCATCTGAGTACCTTGAAAATGCTTTGCGTGCATTTTTCATGCTGTAAAAAGGCTCTGGCCAGCATCGGGCACTGGAAGAGTTGAGAAAAAAATTTCAGACACAAACGCTTATAAATGCAATTTACCACGTTTACAAGTGCTTTGCGTTTGAAACACTGATAAAAATTGACTGCTGAACGCACGTTTTCTGCGTTAAAAGAAACAACTGTAAACTCAAATGCCTGTAAACGAAGATGTGTACATGGACACATAGGAAAACTTTAGGATGAGTTCAGGGGCTGCTGGAAAAAAAACGCTGAACAGCTCCTAAACGCGAGTTTATCAGCTGCAGTGTACATGAGCCCTTATACTGTATCAACAAGGTCTCTCCCAGGCAAAGATTTCTAAGCAGACTGTGGTTTCAAGATGTGCTGTTTAAGCTCTTTTGAAGAAGAACAAAGATGGGCAACGTTAAGGATTGTAGACACAATGGTCAGGCAAGGATTTAAAGTACATCTGTTGTGAGAGAAGTAACGGGACAGCCATTATTAACTTTATGAAAATGCTAGTTGCCTTGCTGTATAAAGATGCTTATTTTCTTTTTTCTTGGGCTCTATTCCTTCTACATCATATTAGAACTGACTGAGCTGTTTCACTGAAAAAAAGAAGGGGGCAAATATTTCTTATATCATTGTATACAGCAGTGTGATAAGTCTAAGCTAAAACCATGACCCAGCATCACTTAGCAACACAATGGTTGAAAAATGTTTTTAAAAAAAAGCACAATATTGGTTTCTTGAAGGCACTCCACTGATGAATGGGACAAGCTGTGCATTATTAATGTATGCTCTGAATGGCATAATTCCATGTATTGATTTACAATAAAACCATTAATGGTTTGTTCCATAAATGTCCTAACACTTGGGAGTTTTTCATGAAAAATTTAATCTTGGCTGGCGATGCCACTGAATCATCAAGACAGTCTGTTATGTATAATTTTCTTATTTGGCTTTTGAAAGAAGAAAATCTTAAAAATGAATCACATATCAGGCTGACCTTATAGTCCTTCAAATGTGATATAACCATAGGTGTCTCTGCTCACCTGCCCATTGATGTAAAACCCCAAAGAGTGCAAGCCTGTAAGAGAAACTGACATCTAAGGGGGCTACCATCCCAAGCATATCTAGCCTTGGGATACAGTAATAAGTCTGAAGTCTGTTGGAAACAGAAGACTTTTGGGTTGCTGTAATAGGGAGTAAAGTTCAGCTGTGTACTTTGTTTTAAAGAGTACTTCTAATTTATTAATACAATTGACTAGAGATTTTTCGTTCCATCGATGTACACAGATATATTTCTCCTGGTATTGTAGTATACTGTATCTTGGTTGTGTTACAGAAGAGCTTCAGTCAGATGTGCCAAAATTAAAAGTCATCAGCTTGTGTCAGCCTGTCAGTGCCCAGACCATACGCCACACACTGCATCATATTGGTCTGCATGACTGTCATCCCAGAAGGAAGCCTCTTCTAAAGATGATGCGCAAGAAAGCCCACAAACAGTTTGCTGAAGACAAGCAGACTAAGGACTTGGATTACTTGACTTATATCCCGTGGTCTGATGAGACCAAGATAAACTTATTTGGTTCAGATGGTGTCAAGCGCGTGTGGCAGCAACCCGGTGAGGAGTACAAAGACAAGTGTGTCTTGCCTACAGTCAAGCATGGTGATGGGAGTGTCATGGTCTGGGGCTGCATGAGTGCTGCTGGCACTGGGGAGCTACAGTTCATTGAGGGAACCATGAATGCCAACATGTACTGTAACATACTGAAGCAGAGCATGATCCCCTCCCTTCGGAGACTGGGCCACGGGCAGTATTCCAACATGACGACCCAACGACCCCAAACACACCTCCAAGGCAGTGGTGCCTTGCTAAGAAGCTGAGGGTAAAGGTGATGGACTGGCCAAGCATGTCTCCAGACCTAAACCCTATTGAGCATCTGTGGGGCATCCTCAAATGGAAGGTGGAGGAGCGCAAGGTCTCTAACATCCACCAGCTCCCTGATGTCATCATGGAGGAGAGGAAGAGGACTCCAGTGGCAACCTGTGAAGCTCTGGAGAACTCCATGCCCAAGAGGGTTAAGGCAGTGCTGGAAAATAATGGTGGGCACACAAAATATTGACACTTTGGGCCCAATTTGGACATTTTCACTTAGGGGTGTACTCACTTTTGTTACCAGCGGTTTAGACATTAATGGCTGTGTGTTGAGTTATTTTGAGGGGACAGATTATTATTATTATATTATTATACAGGATTTATATAGGGCCAACAGTTTGCGCAGTGCTTTACAATATAAGGGAGACAGTACAATTACAATACATTTCAGTACAGAAGGAATATGAGGGCCCTGCTCGTGGAGCTTACAATCTAAAGGATATACAAGCTGTGCGCTTACTACTTTACATTGTAGCAAAGTGTCATTTCTTCAGGGTTGTCACTTGAAAAGATATAATAAAATATTTACAAAAATTTGAGGGGTGGACTCACTTCTGTGAGATATTAAAACAATATAAGTGCAGCGCTACAAACAATGTCCAAGTGACAATTAAAATATAAAATATAAACGATCGTCAAATATAAGATTGTTGAAGATGATAAACAGTTCAGTGATGGGGGACTCGCAGGGAGTATAAGTGTAATCCAATCCCAGGAATAGATAAATTGCCTGCTTACCAGAAGCGCAATTACAATGCGCATGTACAGATTCCCATGTAGGCGCTGCTTTATAGTACCCAGATGGTCCGTCGGTGGCGGACTGTGGCAAGAAGCGGCTTCATCCTGGAACCAGTTCTGTGCCTGAGTAGACTGGGGAGCATCATACCTGTCTGTGTGGTCTCAAAAAATGACAAGGACACTGCATTTCTGGCAAGATCAACAGGAATGCGCTAAATCTTTTAGTTGACCTGTGAGCGTGTTGGGTTCCACAGTAAGGCTCAAAAATCTGACCACAATGAATAGGCACTGAGTTCCCATACCTCAGCCCCAGCATTTTTAGGTTACATGAAATCTGTACATGCGCATTGTAATTGCGCTTCTGGTAAGCAGGCAGTTTATCTATTCCTGGGATTGGATTACACTTATACTCCCTGTGAGTCCCCCATCATTGAACTGTTTATCATCTTCAACAATCTTATATTTGACGATCGTTTATATTTTATATTTTAATTGTCACTTGGACATTGTTTGTAGCGCTGCACTTATATTGTTTTGATTTTGGTTGGAAGGGCTTGTAGTTTCTTTTTGTGCATTTGCCGCTCACTGGAGTGCGCTCACTTTTCTTTATTTTACACAGTCTGTGAGATATTGTATATGTAAATTGTACTGTTTTTGCATTAACACAAGTACAAAAGGTACAAAAGTACAAAATATACCAAGAAAAAATAAAGAAAAGTAAAAAAAATAGAAGATAGATGTACCTCAGTCCACATAGCATATATAAATCACCTTAATCAGGCAGTATTGTAGCTTGTAAATTTAACCAAGGGGACGAGATTTTTTAAATTTCTTAGGGCAACCTTGGGTTAACCTCATGTTAGTTTATACATTGGGATAATTTGATTAATAAGTCTAAGCCATTGGACCAGTGTAGGAGAAGTTTGTGATTTCCATTGAGTAACTATGATTAATAAAACCACATGCCACAAGATAAAAAGTAGCAAAAGAGCACAGATGTGGCTTCCAAAGGTCCAATGTATTAAAAAGACAGAATGAACATCTAAAAACAGCCAGTCAAATGTTTCCTGGCCAATTCTAGCATGAAAGAGGACATTGGTTGGTCGCTTTGAGCATCACAGGCTATTATTTCACCAAATAAATCGGTGGAAAACATTACACATTTTTTAACTTTACTTTTTTTTAAATAATTAATGATATGATACCTTATTCTTAATGGTTTTACTGAGCTCTTCCACCATATCCTCTTTTTCTTTTAGAGACGATCTCAGTAGCAGATTTTCCTTTTGCAAAGCTTCTAGTTTTGACAGAAGTACACTTTCTTCATTAGAAGATACCTAAAATGAAGCAAACCATGGTTGTGCAAATACATTTCATCTATGTACGTTGGCATGTACTTATCATTTTGCAATAAAAAAAAATAAACAATCAATTTAAAAATTGTGATTTTTTTTTTTAAATAATTAGGTTATAGCCCAACTTCAGGCATAAACAAAAATTAACTTAATAAGAAGTCGGGGCTAAAATATCTAAGGCTACTTGAAATAGGCTGGTATAAAAACCCAGTCAAAACTCAAACATGTAATATAAATAATAGTGCAGTGGTTAAATAACAAACAAATACTCTCTAAAAAAAATTTGTGATATAATTATTGATTAGAGAGTATTTGTTATTATTTAGGCACTGCACTCATACAGTATTTATACTATACAAAAATGCCTTTGCAGTAGGGCCTCTTCATACTGCAAGGGTTGAATGTTCGTTAAGTCTAGGGGTAGAAGAATAAGCTGTAATACTTACCTTATTCTTCGCTCCAGCAGGCGTCCTCCATGCTGTGCACCCAGTCCCTCGAAGCCATTTCTCTAAAGCACTCTGGCTAGCAGTCACGTTCAAGCATCAACATATATAATGCTGGACTAGTAGTTCTGCATTGTATGTGAGGGCCTGCCCACAGCCTGGAAGAGAAGAGAGGGAGAGGAATATAGTAAGTATTATAGCCTTTTCCTCTGTCTCCTAAACTTAAAGCCCAACTCATCCAAAAGAATGGAGACTGTGCCTGCACTGCAAGGGATAATTGCTCGTTTTAGTCTAGGGAAAGAAAAAAAAAAGATTTTCTTACCTAATCCTCCACTCTTCCCCACATCTAGACCGGTTCCAGCATCTTTTTTCCCACATTCCATCAGTCTAGGGTCCTGATGTCAACAAGAACCAAGCCAGCCCATACCCCTGCATTGGGCATGATGACCCAAAGGACAGTCCATCACCAGAGCATTGGGAAGCACCATCTGTAGGGGAGAGGAGGATTAGGTAAGTTAAACTGTTTCTCCTCTCCCCTAGAAAAAATTAGCTATTAACCCTTGCAATTTTAAACTTTCCCAAAGTTGGGTTTTAATGAGCATTTAATCTTTGCAGTGCAGGGGAAGCACTTCAAGAAATTTTGTTTGAATCCCAGAGTTCAACTTTAAAGTATAGTTCCTCTTTTGCGATCAAGTTTGAGAAAATCCTGTTATATGTTTGATATGTGTTTGCATTCACACAGCAAACCTATAATACTATTTTAAAAAATATTTCTAACCTTTCAAGTTGTTTCTTTGGAGCAGGCCTTTGGCTAGACTGCAAGCTACAGTGGTGGACTGCAAGCTGCAGGTAAAAGTGGAGGGAGAAAATGGAAAAAACAAATTTTTCCTCATTACCATACAGAATGCAGAATCAAAGCCTTGAGATTTTTTACCCTTTGTTAGGAGAGACAGTGTTCATATACTGTATATTGATATACTGATAATGAGATCTACCAGCACAGTACAGACAGGGTTAATTATGGCAAAAATGAACTCCCCCTCCCTCTCTTTATCATTACTTCAGGTACATACTTACCTTGCTATTGTGCCCGCAAACTGTAAGGTTTCTTGACTTTCCTCTGCCAATCTATTCTATTAGAAGGAACCATATGGGAAGCCACTGTGTGCCAAGTGCACTTAACCTTGCATTATGTTGGGTGTTGCATTAAAGCCAGTTAGAACCCTCTGTTTAATTCAGAGCATGACTGAGCATTCAGCCTGACGTTTGTTGACTGCTAAGGTCCACCTCAGTAATGGGCACATCAGACCTCTGCAATAAGATTATTACCTTCACACAGAGAAAGCAATACTCCCATTCTGCAGTATTGCGGAATATGTTTTTCTACTCATGCTGTGGTTGCCTTAGAAGGATGAAGTGATGACAAACTACGCACTAACGAATGCTTTAACTACTTGCCCTCCAGAGGACTTACCCCCTTCATGACCAGGCCATTTTTTGCGTTACAGCACTGCGCTACTTTAACTGACAATTGTGCAGTCATGCAACACTGCACCCAAATTAAATTTGTGCCCTTTTTTTCCCACGAATTGAGCTTTCTTTTGGTGGTATCTGATCGCCTGTGCGCTTTTTATTTTTTGCGCTATACAAAAAAAATTGACCGAGGATTTTGAGAGAAAAAAAAAACAATATTTTTGACTTTTTGCTATTAAACATTTCCAGTAAAAAAAATCAAATTTTGTCACAAATTTAGGCCAAAATGTATTCTGCTACATGTCTTTGCTAAAAAAAATCCCAATACGTGTAAATTAATTGCTTTACGTGAAAGTTATAGTGTTTACAAATGGCTATATATATTCTGGGATTTTTTTTTTTTTAATTTTTAATAGTAATGGCGACGATCAGCGACTTATAGAGGGACGGCGGGGCGGCATTCTGACAATGAGGGGAACTGACTTGGTGTCACTGACATACACAGTGGCACCAATACAGTGATCAGTGCTAAAATAAAGTACTGACACTGTACTAATGGCACTGGGCAGGAAGGGGTTAACATGAGGAGAGATCAATGGGTTAACTGTGTGCTGTTTTACTATGTGCTGTGTCCATGTGCTTCACTATAAGCACACTGCTTACATCCAAACCAGTGTGCATGAGCTGACAGGGAGGAGAACTGTTTTGTATACATACAGTTCTCCTCCCCGGAGATGCTCTGCAATCACCAGGTGCTGGTGAGTAATCACTGGCCGGGATCTGGTGATTGACAGCCGTGAATGGTTGCGTGGGTGGGGCACACACCCTAGCCAGAAATGCAAAATCACATATATATGCGTGATTTTGCGCACCCGTGCCACCCTGTAGCAGTAGTTCTGCAATAGAGCGGTCAGGAAGCGGTTAAAGAACAAATTATTGTCACATTCAACTGCAAAGTATTGTTCGTCATTGACAGAAACAAAAAAAAAAAAAAAAACAAGCAACATTTGCATTTAAATTTTATATTTAGATTGCTAAATCCGAAAAGATTGCATGAAATTTGTACAATCAGATTGTAACTTGTGTTGCTGGTTTTTAAGAAATAATTTTAGAAACCATAAGGCTGTCTGGTAGGGAAATAATGTCACTGAAAATGAAAGCTTTGTTCAAATATAACTTTTGAATAATAAATTTAAAGCTGTAACATTTTAACTAAGATTATAACCTATATATTATACAACAAACATTTATATCAAGGTCATCTCTACATATCTGTCAAGTTTAATAACTGCTCCTCAGGCTTTATGCTAAAGAACACAGCCATTAACTTCATTACTATGAAGTCAGAGGCAACAATTCCGAACATTAGTATATGAAACAGGGAACACATCCAAGAAAAGTTTGTACCTGAACTGATTTGTTGGCAACGCTCCTTCGTGATGTGACAGCCGTGATTATGCTGGGAATGCTTTTTCCGGTTTTACCAAAAGACAAGCTAGTTCTTGACTTGACATCCTGAATCCCCAGACCGATCCCTGCAATGCTGGGAAGACTTTCGGACTTGCTTGTCCTCCTCACATGAAATGAGTGACGGACGTATGTCATAGGTTCCAGTTCTGACAGTATTGGTGTATTCATTCTTGAGGTCTTTTTAAACCTGGCTGTCATTTCGGTATCTGGCACACAGGGGAACTTTCAGCTAACTCTAATACTTAAAGGTTGATTCACAGTTCTGCTTTCTGTAGAATTTTGCATCATTATGGATACTGTGGACGATCCAGGATTACTACATTTGTAAAACTGCCCCCACTGTGAAGACAAAATGGCCCCATAGATCAATATTTTTCTATTTACAAAAATGTGAAAAATTGACACAACAGCTTTTTTTACACTCAGTAGAAAGACCCAACTTCAGAGATGCCACAATCTATTCAATGATGGTATTAAGGATGAGGTCAGCGCAAACACGTGAACCTTTTGTCCCCCACTGGGGTAATGTATGGTGTTTTTATGCTGTTTCCTCAAGTTTAATAAAATGGATTTTGGTGTTTCATTGTATCCAGACTCTCCTTTGATCATATGAAATGATGGCAGTTATAGACTGTTGTGCAAGCTACATGTCGCTCAAAGCCACCTCAAGTATTTTTCCACTTTTGCAGACAAATATTTTTGACACTTACTTTACAATTTTTATATTTTCCCATTCCGAAAGTATAGCCTAAAAATTGTTGCTCACCTTCATACCTGAAAAAACGTATTTAGATTTCAATTCTATGCAATGTTAAAGAGGGAGAGGGCTAGTTATGTTTACCATACATAACCCTGTCTATACTGTGCTGGCAGATCTTCATACAGTTGTAAACTAGACTGGCATACTGACTGTTTCTTAAAGCGTAACTTAACCCAAAAGAGGTTGTTCCACTTTTCTGCCTTTCCCCCCCTCCTCCCCCACCTTTGGACACTTTTTTTTTTCCATGGGGGGGAGCGGGTACCTGGTTTTAATAGATACCTGCTCCCACTTTCGCCAGGATCGTATAGGCCAGTGGTCTTCAAACTGTGGAACCCTTGGGCTGGATGTGGCCCTTTGCTTGCCTTTATCTGGCCCTTGGGGCACTCTTCCATCCACTGACACCAATAATGGGGACCATGCCTCTCACAGACACCAAAGATGGGGCACTATTGCTCCCACAGGCACCAACGATGGAGCACTATTTCCCCAAGAGACAACAGTGATGGGGTACTATTCCTCCCTTGAAAACCAACAATGGGGCATTATTCCTCCTACTAAAAGCAAAGACATGGCATTATTGGTCCCACTAAAACCAAGGATGGGGCATTGTTTACTTTAACTGACGCTGGGGCTTTTTTTACTCCCACTGGGCACAGTCAGGCCCCATCAAAGCCTAAAGGACAGTAAACTGGTCCTTTGTTTAAAAAGTTTGGTGACCCCTGGTCTATGCTATTCAAGTT